GCCTCAATTCGGTGGAGGTAGGATCCCTCGGGCGATGGCCTCAAACCCAAGATCGCAGACCCTCGTGCGCACGTCTTAACCTCACTGACCAGGCCCTGCAGCCGCCCGAGCAATGGCCAGTTTCTATGTTCAACACAATAAACCAATTGACCTTAATCACCGATTAGAATTAATTAATTAACTTAACTAATTCATTAAAGTCTTGGATTTAACCATTCGGTTAAACCTACGACAACAGAATATCCAGTCAAAGCCTAGGTCAAACATGACCTAACCCAAGTCAAAGTCAAACCTGTTCGGTCAATTCACAATCCTCAACAATTCAATTCAAACAATCAATTTAATTCAATTAACCAATTTAGCCAAATTATAGCATAAACACATATAACGATCCAAACCATTAAATCGATTCTGAATGCTATTAACTTCATAGTACGGACCTGGATTACGCTGAAATCGAATCGATAGCTCGGACGGAAGGCAAATCGACGAAATCAAACGAACGGGTCAAATCGAGTCAAAATGCGAAATCGACCAATCAATCCGGCGTGGAGGTTAATCTGCCGGCGATATCAACTCGGGGCAGCGGCCGGATGCGGCGACGGTGACGGACGCCGGCGACAGTGGCGGAGCGGCAGCTCGACGGCGATGAGCAGCGACTGGCGGTGCTGCAATCGACGGTGGCGGACGACCGACGAAGGCGAAACAGCAGCGTTGCACTCGACGGCGAAGGCGAAGCAGCAGCTAGAAGCTCGGCGACGCTAAGCGGCGGCTACTGGCGAAGGAAGCAGCGGCGGCGCTGGAGGCTTGGCGTTGCTGGGCAGCGACTGGCTTCCGGCGACGGTAAGGTCGCAATTGGCTGGTGCGGCGAGGCTGGGGAAGGCGACGGCGGCTCCAATTGGACGGCAACGAGGGGCGGCGGAGGTCGATCGGCGAAGAAGAAGAAGAAGGAGAAGAAGAAGAAAGAAGAAGAAAAAGAAGAAGAAGAGAAACGAACGAAGAAGGAGAAGGACGAACGAAGATAAGATAAGGTTTGTGTGGTTTAGGTTTATTTAATGGTCCCATTCCAAAAAGAATTGGGATTCGGACCCAAAATACCTGATTTAATGGTCATAACATGAGCTCCATAACTCCGATTCGCGAGCCGTCTGAACCGACGCGATCACAAAAATATTTCCTATGAGATGATATAAAAGTTGGGCTTAAAATCCAAATTATAATTTTAACCCCTTATTGGGCCCAATTCGTAATCAATTGCTCTAACAATTTAATTAATTCTTTTGGGCCAGGTTTCGGGGCGTTACACCTAGTCCTCAACGAGCTCGGCATCACCGAACTCATCTGCCATCCCACGGGCCACCCCACCGTCCACTCCTCGACCCCCGAGAGCCACCTCCTTCTCTACATCGTGTCCTGGATCATCAAGCCCCAGAAGTACGGGCACACGATCATGTCCGGCGAGGATCTCAAGCTCCTCCACGCCATCTCGCACTCGGCACCGATCAATTGGGCGAAGTTTGTCATGATTTACATGACAGACGCCACGTCTACCACCCACAATCACCTGCTCCCGTACCCCTTATTGGTGATGGACATCACCATTGGCCCCCACACCAAGGACACGAAGATTTGGATGATCAGCGCCCAAACCTTCACGAAGCGGTCGGACAACGCCGCACCTACCAGTGCTGCACGACGCTGCACTGCCGATGGCCTAGCCGAACCCCAGGCCCGGGCCAACCTTGCCTCCATCTCCGACTCCCTTAACCGGCTGAACTTCAAAGTCGACGGGATGGGCGGGTACCTTGAACGGCTCGACGAGGCTGTTCAACGCCAAGGGTATGCCATGAACGCATACTTCTAATGCGTCAACTACGTCCCCCCACCGTACCAAGGCACGTTCCTTGGACAAGTGTACGGTGACGACGACGAAGAAGATGGCTCCTATGCCCCGTCAAGCTCCCCGGTTGAAGATGAGTTCGACGACGCTATTGATGGTGATGAGATGGACGTCGACGACAACGAGGAGGAAGCCGAAGACTAAGCCGGCTCTAGAATTTCTATCTTTTTTTCTATTCATTTGTCATATTTTTTTAATTAATTGCTTCCGTTGTACTCCACTCTTCCCCAATTCAATAAATAAAAGTTATATTTTATCTTTTTGTTAATGTCAAAAGGGGGAAGAAAAGGGCTATGCATAAACTAAGGGGGAACGTTTCTAAAAACAGATCGGTTGATTTTAAAATGACTATTTGCTTTTAAGCACAAATTAAGGGGGAACTTTTTCACACCTTTTGAAATTCAAAAATCCCTTAGTATACATATCCCCGTCTTGTTTGCCATTATCAAAAAGGGGGAAATTGTTGGAACACGGGTTTACGCCTACGTCGTACTAAATCGTGGTCGTTTTATGACATGTTTTGATAATGCCAAACCATCGCGAAAACAAGAGAAAATTGAGCAAATCAAAGGCGAGGAAACATGATGTGAAGATGAATGGAAAATGAGAACCAAGAACGAAGACTTAGAAATTAATTGAGTCAATCTTAATGTGATCAAGACCGACACAAACTTCTAAACTTGCATATTCAAAAAAAAATTTCATAAGTTTTTTAACAAGTCTAAAACACTTGGTGTTCGCCCAAACCAAAAACCAAGCCATCCGGCGTTCGGCTTTAGAAACCGGCGTTCGGCATTCGGTTATTAGCGTTGGTTTTTGGCGTTCCAACAAAATTTCTTCAAAAACCATCCTTTGTTTTTAGTCGTTTAGTAAAAACCATGCAAAACGGCATAAACTTGGCTAGCTGTGGTTTTTATCTAAATGACGTGGTTTTCAATATATTTCACTTGATTTCTTAGCAAAATTCATTAAATAAATGTTTTCAAAACTCGGTTTTTATTTTGGAGAACTTATATTTTTGACATCGGCTAACGGCATGACTAAACCAACCATGGGTCTGGCTAAACCAGCCCAACAGCGATGTTGGAGTGACCAACAGCGCTGTCTAGCAAGGGCAGCTGAAAACAATGGTTTGGCGTTAAGTCTTTCAACAACGATGTTTGTAAATAGACATCGTTGTTGAGCCAAGGTTGGATTTCTAGAAACATCTGGAACAGCGATGTAGACTTCTGTACATCGATGTCCAACCTAAGCCAAAAGAAATGCCTTTGGCAGAAAGTTTTTTGACAGCGCTGTTGACCCAGCAACAGCGATGTTAGGCCATTTTTCACCCTTCAAAGTCAGGCCTGAATAGCGATGTTCAAGTAATGAACATCGATTTAGGCACCTGACCGTTGGAAGGAATTTATGGCTGAAACTTTCCATGTTTGGAAGTCAACAGCCAAAACAGCGATGTTGGGCTTTTGGACATCGTTGTTGGCCTAACCGTTGCTTCCTGATTTTCAAAAACTAAGCCTAGAATAGCGATGTCCAAGTCATGGAAAACGCTGTCAGGCTGATTTTCAGCAGATCCAATTTTAATCAAATCCCACAAATTGTGCCAATCACCCCCATTTAACTCCTACCTGTTGGAGCCTATTTTTCTACTATAAAATGGCGTGTTTGGGTCTGCTTTACACATCACATTACTTCACAACTCCTATTATTCATTGCATTACATTCATACATTCTTCATAGCTTTTCGAGAGCCATTTTTGTGAAGTTCGTGTTGTGTTCTTGAGCGTTTTTAGTTACTCGTTATCCACTCTAAAATAGAGTATTGTTCTTGAGTGTTTTAGTGTTTTTAGACACTTGATAAGACAAAGTTTTTCTCTTGAGTAGTTCGAAGGAAGGGTTGTTTCCTTCGAAGGTTTGTTGAGGTTCGTGTGACTCGAACTCTCAAGTTGTACGGGTTTGTTAAGCACCGTTAGTCTTAACGTTAATAGTGTATCTCGAGAGAGTCTCTCAAGAGGCTGGACTAGCCACACATTGTGGTGAACCAGGGTAAAAACGGTGTGCCTCTTCCTTTAGCGTTGGGACGTTTTTCTAACACTATTCACCCCCTTTAGTGTTGGGACGTTTTTCTAACATCATCCGCCACAGCGGCGCACCGACGATCCACTCGGCCCCGCTAGAGAAGCGCCTTCTTCTCTACATCCTCACCAGGAAACTTCGCCCCCGGGACGGCAGCCACACCTCGCTCTTCAACGAGGACTTGAAGGCGATTCCTGCCATCATGCACGGCGCCTCCATCAACTGGGCAAAGTTCGTCATGATCCACATGGCTGATTGCGCCTCCCTCGCCACCGAGCGGAGCTTGCCGTATGCCTTCCTCGTCATGGATCTCATCGTGTCCGCCGACATCCACATCGCCGGACCGAGCACCAAGATGACGAAGCTTTGGGTCATCGCCGACAACACCTTCCAGAAGAAGTCCAAAATTCGGGATGACGCAAGACCGAGTCGTGCCCCAGCCCCCGCTCCCACCCGGGCTTCTTTGCAATTTATCGCCGACACCCTAAATCGGCTAACCCTCACAGTGGACGGCATGGGGCAATACATGGAGCAGATGGACTGGACGTTGCAACGCCAACATCTTGACATGACAGCGTTCTTCCGTGGCATCAACTACATCCCACCGCCATTTGACAGCACCATCCTCGGCCAAAACTTCGAAGGCGGGGATGAAGACGACGACTCCTATGCTCCGTCCTCCTCTCCCGCCGAGGAAGACTTTGAAGATGTGGTCGACGGTGATCCCATGGACGTCAAAGAGGATGACGACGAGGATGCTGACTCCTAGACTCTTCTTTTTTTCTTCCTTTTAATATGATTGTATTTCTCAATTTCTCTTCCGTTGTATTCCGCATTTCCCTTTTAATGAATAAAAATTTATTTTTAATTCTTTTTGCTAATGTCAAAAGGGGGAAGATATGGTTTTTTTTGCTAATTCTAAGGCACAAATTGTTTAAAATCTGGTTCAAAACATGAACCTTGTTGCATTCATTAAGGGGGAACACTTTTCAAAAAGTCTCAATAATTTTTTTTAAGTCTCAAAACAATCCTCCTATGCATAACCCCATCTTGTTTGCCATTATCAAAAAGGGGGAAATTGTTGAAACACAGGTTTATCATGTTTTCGTACTAAAGCCGTGTTCGTTTTTATGACAGGTTTTGATAATGCCAAACCGCCGTGATCAAGACAAAGTGTTGAATATACAAGGCGAGAAACAAAGATAAGAACAAAAGTTAAAAGAAGACCAAGAACGAAAACCGTAGTGTTTAGTGTCGTTGAGTCGGTCATAAATGTGATCAAGACCGGCCCAAACCTCACGCCTTGGCTCTTTAGTCTAAAACCTCTTTATTGCATTACTCATATCATAAAACTGTTAAACATGTTTAACACACTAAAAACACTTGGTGTTCGACCAAACCAAAAACCAAGCCACCCGGCGTTTGGCTTTCAGAAACCGGCATTCGGTTTTCAGAAACTGGCGTTCGACATTCGGTTATCGGCATTGGTTTTTGGCGTCCAAACAGACCAAGTGGTTTTCAACATTTTATGATTGGTCGTTTGGCAAAAACCACGCAAAACAGCATAAACTTGGCTAGCCGTGATTTTTACTCAAACGACGTGGTTTTTAAAATTTCTCACTTGATTTCTTAGCCAAATACATCAAATAATTGTTAGCCTTGGTTTGCTAAGCCTCGTGTTTTGATTTTAACAAACAATATAAGAGTTTAATGTTTGTTTCAGTGTTTCAGGTACAACAAGAATCCATTAAGATTCGGTTCTCAAGAATGAAGTCGAAACACTAAACTCGCGTAGAATATAAGCAGAAATTGATGTAAGGATATGATTTTACATACCTATATTCACAAGCTCAAATACACTCACAAAATATGTTTAAAACCCTTTTATAATCATTTTCAAACATCCAAAAGGTTTTAAATAAAATTAGAAACGATTTGGACAAAAATGAAAAAATTGTCAAAATGATCACTAGGTACCTAGGTACCGTAAGCACGGGACCCCCCTATCGTAAGGGGTACCGTAAGAGGATAGGTACCGCCAAAGAGTTTTAGCCTGAGAAGGTACCTAGATACCGTAAGCACGGGACCCCGCTACCGTACGCACAGTACCTTGCTACCGTGAGGACGGTACCGGCCTACCGTGACCGTTGGGTTACTTTTCCTGATTTGTGATTTTGACTTTAATCAATCCTAATCACCTCCCAACGGCTAATTAACCTTTTCCACTGTAAATACAAGCCTAATTCTTCATATTTCTTCAAGAAACAAAGCTTCAAACATCCTTCCTTTATATTCTAAGTGTGTTCATTCTTTTATTCATTATTTTCAATATTTTGGCTATTTCAAGAGCCACAAATTCCTGATTTTTATACACACACTTTGAGCTTGTGTTTCTAGTTATATACTCTGATATTCATAAGTTTATATTGTATTTTTGAGAGAGTATAATTTTCTTCCACACCGGCTAAGTTTTGTTCTTCATTTTTATACTCTAGCCATTGTTTAGAATCATTGTTTGTGTTCTTCAAACACACCTTCTTCCGGTCGAGAATAACCGTTAAATTCTCACGTTGTACCGGTTAAGGATAGCCGTATAAATCCTTGGGTAAAGGTTCAAGGATAGCCTTTGAAATCCTTGGGGGATCGGTAGAAGATAGCCGTTAAATATTCATTGTAAACGGTTCGAGATAGCCGTGGTGAAATCTCGGAGTGAATCCTATTGGCAAGGGTTTTTTTTCCAAAACTAGTGCGGTGCTTTGACGGAGTTCAAGAGACAGGAACTTAGTGAATTCGGAAATCTTTGAGAAGGAGCCTCGAGGTACTGGAGTATGGAGTTCCCGAACCAGTACAAAATCCGTGTGCATTTTACTTTACGCTTCTATTTCTACGTTTTTATATATTGCTTCCGCATTTTCCAACACCGTTTTTATCAAACTCCAAAAAGATTTTAAACGCCTTATTCACCCCCCCTCTAAGCCGTGGGCACAACGACTAACATAGTCTAAACCGACTAACAATAATTGTTTTAAACACTTGGTTTTTATTTTAGAGAACTTTGGATTTTTCGGTCATTTTTAGCATCGGTTGGCTAGGCCATGGTTCATGCAAAAACCATTGGTTTTTGACTAACCATCCACCCAGCAATGGGAAGCATTACTCATCGATGGGTAAGCAGACCTTCAGCCCAACCGAATTCAGAACCATGCCAAACAACGATGGGAAGTTCTACCCATCGTTGTTCAAGCCTTGGTCCAACATTAATACAAGGCAAAATGACCTTACCCAGCAATGGGGACTTTAACCCATCGATGGGAACCCAACGATGGAAGGGCATACCCATCGCTGGTTAGGCATGACCGTTGTAAGTCATTTAAGGTTGATTCTTTCCTTATTTGAAAGGCAACCTCCCACCCAGCGATGGAAAGCATGTACCCATCGATGGTTAGGTGACCGTTGGCTTCAAAACTGAAGGAAAATTGGCTTACCAACGATGGGTAAGTCCATACACCGCTGGGAAAGCCAATATCCTGTAGATCCACATTTTAATCAATCCCATAAATCATGCCAATCACCCCTTTAATGCCATGATCCGTTGGAGCCTATTTTGGCACTATAAAAAGGGGTGTTTGGGTCTACTTTACTGATCAATTCACTTCACATTACACATATTACCATTGCATTCAAACAACATCATTTTCCATAGCTTTCTAGAGCCAATTTGTGTGACGTTTGAGTTGTTCTTGAGCATAATATTTTACTCAACATCTACTCTTAAAAAGAGTCTTGTTCTTGAATGTTCTTAGTGTTGTATACACATTAAGGGAATCTTGTTTCCCTTGGTTGTACGAAGGAAAGGTATTTTCCTTCGGGTTGAAGTCTTGGAGTGCGGTATCTCCGAGCAAGTGTTGTTGAGGCTCGTGGGACTCGAGTTCTCAGGTTGTAACGGTTTGTTAAGCACCCGTAAGCTTAATGGAAGTAGTGTAGCTCGAGAGAGTCTCTCGGTAGACTGGATTAGCCACACGTTGTGGTGAACCAGTATAAATCTTGGTGTGCTCCTTTTACACTTTCTTCGCTCTTTACTTTTCGGGTTCTTAATTTTTTATTCCTGCAATTTCTACAATCAAACACTATTCACCCCCCCCCCTCTAGCGTTGGTCACTTATTCTAACATCACTCAGAAGAAAACATTAGATTTTAATTACAAATTAGTGACAAAGAGTAGAATCTGCACCTGCTACATGCAAAAGCCCTATGCTTAGTTGTTTAATTCCCAGCGTGTCTTATCCCTTGACATTCCTCCCCTTAACTTGGCATACTAAGTATACGCAGAGGCAATTATTACTACCTTAGAAAATAAAAGTGCTCCGTCCAAAAAATAATTCCCTATACACTACTCCATCTGTCCCTCATAGATCTTCTCATTAGCCCTTTTTATTTGTCTTACATAGATCTTCTCATTACCTTTTTTAACATTTAAAATACCACAACTACCCCCACTTACTTTATTTATTACACCTTTTCCACCTTATTTAATACACTCCACCCATTTTCATTAAGGGTATTTTGGTAAACTTTTACCTTTTTTCAACTCTCCTTAAAAACCACAAAAAGTCAAAACGAGAAGATCTTAGGGTGACGGAGGGAGTATTTGCGTTTTCATCTGGTTATAATTTTATGACATTCTGTTATGGGAAATTTATTTAAATACTACTAAATAAAATATAGTGATTTTGTAAATGTAGTATCATATGTTTTTATTTTATAATGTGTACGGGTAATTGTCCACTCCTCATCGTTCAAGTAAATGTCTCCCGTCACAGGACATTGTTTAAACTAAGTGTCCACAATTACTGGACATTGTTCTCGCCACTACCTAGACATTATTCAAGAACTATTTAGAGACTAAAAAATTTTAAGTATTACATTGGGAAATGACTAATATTTTAGTATTCCCTCTGTCCCTTTAAACATGAGATGTTTTGATTTTGAAGAGATTTAAGGAGATTGTATTTTGGTATTTAATTTCCAAAAATGTTCATTGATGTGATGGGTAAAAGTAGGATTTGATGGGTAGATTATTAGTAAAATAGTATGATGTGATAGGTAGGGTATGAAAAAATAAGGTGTAAAAGTGAATCTTTAATTGAAATAAGAAATGTTTTTTGGGACGGATGATAAAAGAAAGGAGAAAGATTTTCAGGGACAGAGGGAGTACTATTTAGTACAAATTTCACTTTTATTATACTCCGTATGAAATTTTGTATAAACGTAGTTTTAAATTAAGAAACCACCCTACGTAGCACTCTAAGTCACTCAATATTACGCATATAGCACTCCTTAATCTTTTATACGAATTTAGGTATTTATAGTGTCAATATCTTCCAAGCATACTCTCTACCTTTTATTATATTCTACTATTTTTAATTACTTTTAATTATTTGATTAATCTTAGGTTATTCACGTAGCCACTCCTCCTCATATGTGCGGCTCCTCTTCATTCGTGCGTCTCATACGTACGAGAACATCATCCTACGTTATTTACCATAGCTCTGCTAGATCCTATTCCTGCGCAGTTTACGAATATTTAACGCCCATGTTTGGCCAGTGTGTTTTGGTGTAATAGATTATTCATGAAATCAATCATATATTTTTAGATAGTGTGGAATTCATACATGAAAACAGTTATACACATTACACATTTTTGGCAGTATGGAATTCATACATGAAAATAGTGTGGAATTCATAAAAAAAGAGAGCTATACATTTTTTGGGCAGTGTGGAATTCATACATGAAAATAGTCATACACTTTTTGACAGTGTAGAATTTATACATGAAAACACTACATACCACATAAATCAATGAACATTACACTCCAACATGAAATTAAGGAACACAATAATACACTTACACACTGCAGTAAGATATAATGACATATATCCATTTACACTGCCACATTAAATACTCACATATAAAAAACCACACTGCCCACTACACAGTTGCAAGTGAATAACCACACTGCCCAAAACAATCATATTTTTTGGCAGTGTGTAAAGGACAAAATCGGAATCACAGGTACGAAGCATATAGCACTGCTATTTAGAGTATTTTAATGCTCCTGAGTGCTATTTTGGTTTTTCTCCCTTTTTAATTCCATAAGCCTTATTTTAACCCTTCTGTCCTAAATTAGCTTCCAGTTTGGCTTTCGAGGTAATCTTTTTAACTTTGATCGCATACTACTAAAACAATAAATTGAATTTTATATAAACTTAATATCAATAGATTAATTTTAAAATTTAGTTTCAAATGTTTTATTTTTATAATACATATTTATATCTAAATAGAGATACAAATGATCAAATTGTTGAATTAGAAACCGAGAAAAGTGAAATAAGAAATTAAATTTAAAACAAAAGAGTAATTTATAGTGATTAAAAAACTATGAAAATTCTAAAATAAGAGTCATATCATAACTCTTTTCAGACCAAAATAGTAGTTTATACTGTCATTGCAACACTGTCGCACTTAGTCACCACTAAGATGGATTGGTCACATACATACACTTATATATTACACTTTTATCACTTTTCCATCACACTCTCAACGCGTATTCTTACACAACACAGTTTTTACACTCTTATTTTATTTTTAAAAGGTATAAAACTCATATTTTGATATTTTAAAACTTTTTTACTCCCATCTAGGGATATTTTTTAATTTATAACAATTTTAATTATGTTCCACACTATAGAGATACATAACCCGGTATACCGAGTATAAGAGAAATAATTTTGATAGTTTTCATGAAAGATAATGAAGAATATATGTGGTTATGGATTGCGCAGTGTGAAGAATCGAATAGGATGGTGGGGAGTCTGTTTATGCAAATATGCAATACAGAGAATTTAACACGTAAATGGAGTAAAGCAAAGCACGATTACTTTGAGAATTTGTGCACCAAAAAAAGATGACAAAAAACATGGGGAAATACGGCTTTGGTATATGGATGATACTATACCATCATGAAACTTCTACGAAGTATGTTTTTGTTGAGAAATTCTACGGGGTATTCCATTGAAAATAATTGCCTCAACCATCATAATTTCTCAGGACGATTGATTTATGTTGAATAATGAAATAATTACATTACTCAGAAAATAATAAAATTCATGACAAATGACAAAATATATATAGAGGGAATTATAACTCCAATTAGGAATATAAATTAATAATAGAACCTGAGTACAATACAGAGACTATTATAATATAACTAATACTACCGTTGTTGTTGTTGTTGATGGACAATAAACCCACCAAATGATCCGATTCAGAAGAACGGATCGTAAGAAATGAATTAAAGATAAGAACTCGAGAATTATGTGTATTTTATTAGCTTGATTTAGCTTTAGTTTTCCCTCTCGGGGTCCCTTCTATTTATACATGGATTCTAGACAATTAAGGTAATACATAATCAACGGGTGTCCATTCCGTCATTGGTGCGATCCACTTTTTCCGGCTTCGTCTTCGCTATTCAGCTCCGTCTTCTCCTCTGGGTTGGCTCCGCCAGCTGTTTCTGGGCTGGAGTTGATCGGGCTTCGTCTCATGGGCCGACCCAGGCCTAAGTATTTCCTGTGCGCTTGACCCAAAGTCTATTAAATGGTTCAATTGGGCCACCCGCTGGATATCGGTCCATCACAAGCCCCCCAACTCTTCATTCCTCGTCTGGGCCACGTTGAGGGATAGGGAGTTTACGAGGTCCACGTGGGTGCTCCAGTGCGGATCCGGGCCATTCATTGGGTTTCGCGTGACGTTTGGGCACGATCTCCACGAAGATGTAATCATAGCCTGCTGCTTCGCCTTCCCCTTGTCAGTTAAAACCGTCGTTGGACGCCATCTTCTTCTTTTACCTTCTCCATCACCATCCGTTCGTGATTCCGCTGTTACCCGACCTGTTTTGTTTCTGCTCCAGATCAGTTTCCTCTCTCACCACCATGATTGTCTATGATTCCGATTCAGCTTCCGCATCATCCAATTCTCGTCATGCCGATCAATCGGCCTCTGGCCGTGACCTAAGCCAGACTCAATCGTCCCATCCGTCACCGCCGGCCATGCCCAGCCAAAAGCTACGCCGATTGAGGAAGCAATTTCCTTCCTCGACCCCAGCTCGGGGGTGGCTCGAGGGTTAAGCTGGACGAGAGCATCATGGCACTGTGCCATTGCCAAGTTACTAACCGGGGGTTCGCCGATGCCACTGACATGGTTGGACCCTCTATTGAGGTTCTAAGGCCTACTAGCACCCAGACCGCCCTAGACGCTCCGTCGGGGTTCTTTACAGTCCATTTGGCATCCCGGAAGAAGGGGCTGCGATTTCCTCTCCACCCGCTGTTGATTGAATTCCTCAACGAGGTGGACCTCCTCCCGTGTTAGTTGGTTCCCAATTCCCACCGGTACATTGCCGGTTATCTGATCAGATGCAAGGATATAGGGGTGAAACCTACTCTCGACCACTTCGTGTTCACTTTCAAGCTGACCAAGGGTCACAAGGATTGGGCATCCTATGCCAGTCTTTCCCAAAGGTCCAGCAATCTTTTTACCAGCGACAAGAAGGGGTCGACCAAGGACTGGAAGCCCTTCTTTGTCTTTGTCTCGAAGGGGCCTGAATCTCTTTTCACGGGTTCAGGGCTCCCTTCTTTCCGTCGCATCCCATGTTCCCCATCTGACGCCACCCTCTTGTCCATGACCCACCAACTCTGCGGCCGAGGGGCCGTCAATATTAAGGAGGTGGTGACCGAGGAGTCTCTTCCCAAAATGGGGTTTGAGTTCGTCCAAGACGAACTTCGTCACCAACCTGAGCTGTTGAGGGATGTTCCTGGGGGCAGTCAGCCCGACCTGCCCAGGGGCGCTCCTAAGGGAGGCCTAGACTGTGGTCCTTTTGGTAATTTCCTTTTGTTCCTGTCTAGGGTTTTAGTTTTACGTCCTTGGGAGACTAACCATTTCCCTTGCATTTAGTTGAGCCACAAGGATTAGAAGGAGAGATGGATAGTGACCTCTTGCTCAGTCGCTTCATGGCGGGGAAGAAGAGGAAGAGAGATGCCACCAAGCAGAGCAAGAGCAAATGCTCTTCCTCCCGCGGAGAAGGTAGTCCATCTCGTGAGCCGGCTGTGATCGTGGTGGAGAACCAGGACGACGCGGCTCAGGAGATGGGTACAATAGCGATCCACTCCCCCCACGCTCTCTGATACCGGGGGGCGACCTGGCCCGGTCATCCCAGGCTGTTACCTCGGAGCGACCTCCTTCGTCGCCCACAGTGACCTATGAGGTGGCGACCGAGGGTCGCTCGATGAGGTTCAACATTCCTCCCCCGTCCCCAAGTCTAGGGGACGTGCAGCTGGAGACCTTGATCACCCTGCCTGCACAAGACCGGGCCCGCATCTCGGCCGGCTCTGAGGATGACCTCAACACCATGATTCTCCTAAGGCTTAGCCAGGTATTCACCTTAATTTTCTTTTCAACACTCCTCCTCCTTACACTCCTAACCTTTATGCCTTGGTACATGCCACGCTGGGGATGATTGAGGTCGTCAGCCAGAAGCGGGACCGCCAAGCTGCCTCGGATGAAGCGTTGAAGGCAGCGGAAGCTAAGCAGAAGGAGTTGCAGGAGGAGGTCGCTCGCCTTATGAGGGAGTTGGACGGGAAAGAGGTCCGCTGTGCCGTCCTTGAGGCGGAGAAGGCCTCCTTGTCTTCGGAGGTGGAATCTGTTTCCGCTCGTGTGGTTGAGTTGGAGGGGGAGAAAACTGATTTGATCCAGCAGTTGGAGGTGGAGAGGAGCGACCGGGTCCATCTTGTGGAGGAAGCGATCGAGTCCTTCAAGTCTTCTCCTGACTTTGCCATGGTCGCTATGGAGCGGATGGACAAGCTGACGGTCGAATGGCTCAAAACTGAGCCCGGGGCCCAATGGATGGTCAAGAAGGGGACAAAGTCCTTCAACTGCGGGCTCTTTCGCGCTCAGCAAGTCTTCCTCGACAAGCTAGCCCGGCTCCCCAAAGGATTCTCTCTCCCCGATCTCGGCTTTCCTCCTCCTTGCCGCGCCTTGGCTGAGCTCAAGTGCCTCCGACGAAGAAGAAAAAGAAGAGGCTGATCTGCGCGACCAAGGTGAACAGGACGACTAGAACCCGGGGTCCAGCTTAGCAACGTCCAAGGCAGGTGGAGATGCCGGCTCGAGCATCTAAACTCCCTTGTCTCCCGTCTTCTCATTGCTTTTATTCTGCCCTTCAGCAATGTAAAGATTTATGATTTTTCAGAATGCCTTGGTGTTTTGATGCAGTATTCTCATGTTGGATGTGATGTTTGACTCGTTTTTGTCCATCATGCGCTTTCCTCTTTCTGCACTTAATTGCTATGCTCCTTAATTTAGTTTAGCTCACTAACATGGATGGGTTTTTTTTGTTGTTCGGGCCCAACTTTTGACCCAGGTCCAACTGCATGTCCAGGCGCAGTTTCGGGATTGGCTAGCGTGCCGCCCAACTGACCCTCACAGTCTTTGATTGGACCCTCGCGTGGCTCAAAGTTACTTTATCGATTCCGCTGCCTTGAGACTCATACCCCCCTTCGGTTCCTTCGCCCAGGGCTATTTATAGCCCACCCAGTCTTTACTTAGTTCCATCATCAAATACTTTCCTTTCCTCCGTTTTTGTCATGTCTAAAGGAATCCCCACTTCTCTGAATCTCTCCGACGGGCCGGCTCCTTCCTCGCCAGAACCTGCCTCTTCCCCCAAATCAGTTAACTCCAACCACTGGGGGGGCTAGACCCCTACGAATTCTGCTGCCGGTTGCCCCGCCGACAATGGCCCTCGGTTAAACCGCCGCCGATACTACCAAATCCCTATGATGATTTTAGCGAGGCGTACAAGGCTCTTTCAGCCAACCGTCTGCCCGACAGGCGTATTGACTGGGATGCCCCATGCCCACTCCATTCTTTGCAATGCATGGCCTGGGAGAGCGTGCGGAATGAGCACTTGCCTCTTTTGGAGCATGAGGGAGCATATTACACGAGCCTGGAGCGATGGACTAGCGAGAGTCGCACCAACTCGCCGGTGCGACCTAAAGATGAGGTGGTGGTGGGGGAAGAGCTGGGTTCCTCCACCCCCACTCCACGCCCTGCTGGTCGCTTGCCCCCCGGAAGGCTCCTAGGCGATCCGGAGTAGCTCGCGCTGCCTCAGGGTCTGCATCCTCATCTAGGTGACGCCGATTAGGGCTCACAGAAAAGAGAGTCGCCCTTCTTCCCTTCCCTGTAGGAGAAGGACGGGGGGTTTTGTTGCGGCCCAGGGGCGACCATCTCTGCTCCGTGTTGGAAGAGGAAGGTTGTCACTCTGGACGGCTGGTTATTGGAGTCCTATCGCCCTATACAGCCGCAGAACTACCCTTCAAACTTGCCTTTTCCCCTGGATTCTTCATCCTTTCTGGGCTTCAGCCGCACAAAGCTCTGGATTTTCCTTTTTTTTGTATAAGGAATGTATGGGGGAATTTCCTTCCTTTGGAGGTGTGTAGAAGTTGTTCTCAACTGTATTGGATGTGTAGATGCAAAAGATCATCCTTGAAGTGTAATAAACATTTTCATAAGTGTATTTCGATGTTACCTGCTCACTTGCAAGTCCCATCTTCTTCTCTTTTGCACCTTATTTTGAACGTTTAGGCCTCCTCAAACCTTAGTTAGAGAACACCCTGCTTCTTTTGACTTAGCCATTTTTGGGGCATCTTTGCTCCTACGGCGTCGCCATGTTTCCAAAGCCCTCAGGTCGCTCATGTGACCAGCAAATCTTATGCTTTGGACTTAGCCGTTTTCTTAGGCTTTCTCGCCATGCCGTCATCCTCTTGTTAGTTGCGCTGTCCCATGGTCGCCCTGGTGACCGTGGAGCGAGCACTCTCCGATAACCTTTAGACTTGGTTGCCAACAGGGTTCGGCACTTCATCCCTTGGTGGGCGTCTTAGTGCGAATCACCATGTAGCTCTATTTGGCGATCTCTTTCGTCGCTTCCCTTTTTTTTGAACGATGCAATTCAAGAAGAGAAGTGCCGGAATGATGAACTCATTAAATTCAAAAGGGAAACATAGCAGGAGTACAATCTACTGATAAAATTTGATAAGATTGGCAGCATTCCAACCCGCCCGCTGGTGTTTGTAGTCTAAACGTTCCATCGGCCAACATTTCCTTTATGATGTACGGCCCTTCAAAACTCTTGGCAAACTTCCCTCCGTCGGTCGGCCGGCTGACCTCCCTTCTTCTTAGGACCCAATCTCCTATTCCGAACTGCCTCGGTCGCATCCTTTGGTCATGGTACGACTTAACTTGCCGACGGTAATTCTCTGCTCGTATGTACGCCCTTTCTCTTCGCTCATCTATGAGATGCAACTTCGCCCTTAGGTTCTCCTCATTTTCCTGGGCGTCAAATGTCTCCACCCTATAACTCAGCAATGAGGTCTCCGCCGGGGCCCTTGCCTCAAACCCATATGTGAGCACGAACGGAGTTTCACCCGTAGCTTTCCTTGCAGTAGTTCTGTAGGTCCACAAGATGTATGGCAACTCCTCCACCCAGGCGCTTTTACACTCCATTATCTTCTTTTTCAGGCCATCCACAATGGTACGGTTAGTGTTCTCGACCTGCCCATTGGTCTAGGGGTACCCAACCGCAGCGTAACTGTGCTTTATGCCCCAACTCTGTAGAAACTCATTGAACCCCTTAGCCTCGAATTGGGTTCCGTTATCAGTGATGATCTGCTGGGGCACCCCAAAGTGGCACAAAATTTGCTTGGACACAAATTTCCTCATTTGCTCTTCAGTGATGGTCGGTACTGGGGCAGCCTCGACCCACTTGGTAAAGTAGTCGATCGCGACCACCAGGTACACATTGTTCCCTGCTCCTCTGGGCAGGATGCCAACTAGGTCAATACCCCACCAAGCGAAGGGAATTGCAGTGCTGATCGGGGTGTAATTCGTCGCTGGTCAACCTGGTACCTTCTAAAACTCCTGGCAGATCTTGCACTTACGTACGTACTCTACGCAATCCCTGATGATCGTAGGCCAGAAATACCCCTGCAAGGTTATCTTCCTGGACATCTTGAAGGCTCCTTTGTGAGCTGAGCATATCCCTTCTCGGATCTCCTCCATCAGCTTCTGCGCTTGGTCCACCCTTAAGCACCTCAACAATGTACCATTGTACGATCGCTTGTACAACCAACCGCACTCTAGCGTGTAGCTAGGTGCACGTCGTTTGACTACTTTAGCAGCAACCGGGTCGGTAGGTAGCGACCCATCAAGGATGTACATGGTTATCTCGTCGATCTAGTCTGGCTCTTTGAGTGTAACGACCAGAACCTATCCAGGATTGATGCTTGGCTCGAGTAATTCTTCTTCCTGGGTCATCGCTCTGATATGATCTCGGGAGTCTGGACCAAGTTTTGACAGGATGTCTGCCTCGGCATTTTCTTCTCGAGGGACCTGCTCCATCTGGTATGCCCCGAATGCCTTAAGTAATTCCAGAGCAGTGTCTCTGTACCTCTTCATTCGCTCATCCTTGGCTTCAAACTCTCCCGTGACATGGCCTACTATCAGCTTGGAATCACACTGGACCTGAATCCGTTCAGCCTTTAACGACGCTGCCAGCCTCAAACCGCAGAGCAGTGCCTCATATTCAGCCTCGTTGTTTGAGACCTTGAACCGGAACCTTACGGAGTAGTATGCCTTGAATTCTTCCGGTGATATTCCCACGACGCCTCCCCCCGAAGCATCAGTCGCGGACAAGCCATCGGTGTATATAATCCACCAGTTTCCTTCGAGTTCTTCTCCGTTGGATTCCACTTCCCTTGCGGTGCATTCTACCACAAAATCCGCCAAGGCCTGCCCCTTGATCGCTGGTCGTGGCTTGAATTCTATCTGGAAAGATCCCAGGAACACTCCCCATTTGCTAACTTGTGACGGGGCATTCAGACTTCTGAGGAGGGTTCCGATTGGAATCTGGGACAGCACGTGGACCGGGTGGGCCTGAAAGTAGGGAGTGAGTTTCTTCACCGTACAGACCACTGCAAAGATGGTCTTTTCCATGTTCGTATATCTAAGCTCTGCCCCCCGCAACACCCGGGCTACATAGTACACCGGTCGCTGTGTGCCCTCCTCCTCCCTCACAAGTACCGAGCTCACAGCTCGAGGAGAGATTCCCAAGTACAGGAATAGAGTCTCTCCGGGCTCTGGCTTCGAAAGCACTAGTGGGGAGAGGAGGTACGCCTTCAATCCTTCGAAGGACCGTTGACATTCTTCGGTCCAAACAAACCCTTTGTTTTTCTTGATGGTCTGAAAGAAGGGTGCCGCTCGATCAGCTATCTTCGATAAGAAGCGACTTAGAGTAGCGATCTTTCCCGTAAGCTGCTGGACCTCCTTCACGTTCCGTGGCGGCTCCATCTCTAAAATTGCCTTCACCTTCTCCGGGTTGGGCTCAATCCCCCTTCGACTGACCATATGCCCTAGGAACTTGCCCCCCTGAACCCCAAATGTACATTTCTTGGGGTTAAGGCGGAGCTGGAACTTCTTCATGATCTTAAAAACCTTTTCCAGATCATGGGCATGGAACCCCATCTGCTTTGATTTGACGATCATATCGTCCACATACGCTTCCATACATTCCCCCAACACCGGCGCAAACAGTTTGTTGACCATCCGTGCGTAGGTCGCAGCGGCATTTTTCAAGCCAAAGGGCATTACTTTGTAACAATACACCCCATTGGGGGTGATGAAAGCGGTCTTCTCTTCACCCGCTGCAGCCATCTTGATCTGATGGTATCCACTGAATGCATCCATAAAGCTCATCAGTTCACACCCTGCCGTCTCATCCACCAACTGGTCAATGTTGGGGAGAGGGAATGGATCCATTGGGCAAGCTTTGTTTATGTCGGTGTAATTGACGCACATCTGCCAGGTATTCCCTTTGGGTGCGAGGACTACGTTCGCCAACCATTTTGGGTAGCGGACCTCCCGGATGTGTTCAATGGACTGCAGGGTTGTCACCTGCTTGGTGACAAACTCTCTCCTTTCTAAGGAAAGAAAACGCTTCTTCTGCTTAATTGGCTTGTGGGTCGGGTCCACTGCCAACCTCTGGCAGATGATCTTCGGGTCGACCCCGGGCATGTCCTCTGGGCCCCAAGCGAATAGCACCTTGAATGCTTGAAGGACCTCCAACAGTTGCTCCTTTAATCTTTGTGGTAAGGTTTTACCTACCTTTACCTTCTACTCTGGCTTGGCCGGATCCAAGATGACTTCTTCAACTTCCTCCGCTGGTTCGGCTCGAGGTCGCCCCTCTTCCTTCTGGATTGCAGCACAGATCGTGCTCACATTCTCATCGACCCGTGCCTGGCTCTTAGTCGCCCTGACATAGCACGATCGAGATAAGCTTTGATTCCCCTTAGCCACCCCCACCCCCATGGGGGTGCTGAACTTCAGGCACAGATGGACGGGGGAGATTACGCACTCTAGGTCCTCCAACCCTGGTCGCCCCAGAATCAAATGGTGTGCGCAATCGAGCTGCACTACCATGAATTCCATGTCGAGCCAGAGTCGGTGGGTGCCGTCTCCTACCCCAGCCTTCACCGTGATGGTTCCTTCTGCTTCAATAGTGTCTCCCGTAAACCCTGACAGCAATGTACGGATCGGCTTCAGCTCGCTCTGGGACAACCCAAGCTCTCTAAAAATGTTGCTGTACATAATGTTGACCGAACTACCAGTATCGACCAATGTACGATGGACGACCACATTATTGATTTCCACCCTTATCACCAGCGCGTCCCTTTGGGGGCTAAGAACTGGTGGATAGTCTTCATCCGTGAAGACTAATGGCTCCTTCCTCTTCCGCTTGGGTAGCGGTTGGTCTTTGCACCTCGGCCAGATGCACCATATTCTTTCATTTCCTCCGTGAGGACGCCGAGTCCCCATTGGTATTGCCTCCCATAATGAACCGACACCCTAGGTGCCGGAGGCCCTGCCGCTCTTCCTCATCCAGGTCGTCACTATCTCTCCCCAGATGACGTCGTTCGTCCTCCTACCCTTCCTCTGCTGTGACCGCTGCAGTGGGGGCTGCTGGTCTCCTTGAGGTCCGATTACCTGACGATGGTCGCTCCGGCCGAGGAGGCGGCCCTCTGGTGATCAATTGGTCCATTTCCTTCTTTAACATAACGCACTCCGACGTGTTGTGGGTGCTGTTACAGTGGTACTCGCAATATTTAGGTGCGTCTTGCACGCCATAGCTTTCCCTACTGCGAGGAGGGGCAGGTAAGGACTGTACCGCATGGACAGGATGTCTGCTCGCCTGATATCCGGTAGGGTTAGGCCCCCTACCGTAGTCTTTCCTCTTCTTTCCTTCTGCCACCGGCGGTCCACTTTTCTTTTCCTTCCGGACAGGTGGCTCATCATCATCTTCTTCCAACGCCAGGTACTTTGCTCTGGCCAGCATCTCCTGATAGGTCGAGAGCGGATTCCGTCGCAGCTCCTTGCGCACATCCCCTTGGGGGAGTGCCGCTTGGAGCATAGCGATCAGAGCCTGGTCGTCCGCACCTTGGACGTCCCTAGCCTCCTTCTCCCACCTATTGATGAATTCCCGGAGTTGCTCCCCCTTTCGGATTTTCACATTAAGCAAATGCGAGAAGGGGAGTTTTTGCCTCCGGCTGGACGCGAAGTGCTCCATGAACTTGTGGGCCAGATCGCTCCACTTGTCTATCGATCCCTTGGGCAGCTTATGGAACCAATCACAAGCTTGCCCTTCCAGTGTCGCCAGGAAGCACCGACACTTAATCTCTTCAGGGTAGACATACATGACCACGTTCGCCCCAAAGCGAGCAAGGTGGTCCTGGGGATCGGTTGTCCCATTGTATGCTTTGACCTGTGGGGTTTTAAAGTTTTCCGGGAGAGGGCAGGACATTATCCTCCTAGAGAAGGGCGTTACCTCACTAAAGACTTCCTGGCGATAGGGGTTCTGGGCGTCCAGCCGCTTCTCCAATCGCTCATACATCCTCCACAACTCAACTGCTTCATTGTCCTCGACCGCCTTTCGTCGCTCCTCCGAGCCGATCTTGGAGGTCGCAGTGGGTTCTCCTCTCCTCTCCTTGAGCGTCTCCCTCAGGTCGCCCTTGCGGGCCGATCGCGTGTCTTGCAGCCGATCGAACGCGGAGGTTCGGGGCTTCTTTGCCATGGGCTCTCCCAAGCAATCAAAGGCTGACGCCCGCTCAAAAGAGGACGACTCGTCTTCCTCGTCCAATCTGGACAGCGCATCTTCCATCCTGGCTTTCCCATTAGGCTTGGTCGCCTTCTTCTTCTGGGATCGCCTCACCTTTTTCTTCTTTCCCTGTGAGCCAGCAGGTCCAGCCTTCTCGCCTACGGGTACCCCGGTCGCGTCTTCCACAACAATCTCGCGAATGGGCGTCACTGCCGCCAACACCTCCTTGAACTGCTCAGCCGTGATTCCAACCCTCTGATTGAGGGCCTCCCCCTCTGTCGTATTGATAGGAGGGTGCTGGCCTCCGGTAGCGCTATTTTCGCCCTGGTGGGGGGCTCCGGTTCGAGCATTGGCATTGCTGCGTGTCTGCACCATCGTCTTCCTGGAAGGTTTTCTCTGAGCATGATTCTCGAGCTCTCAACGAGAGCACCAATTTGATGGACAATAAACCCACCAAATGATCCGATTCAGAAGAACGGATCGTAAGAAATGAATTAAGGATAAGAACTCGAGAATTATGTGTATTTTATTAGCTTGATTTAGCTTTAGTTTTCCCTCTCAGGGTCCCTTCTATTTATACATGGATTCTAGACAATTAAGGTAATACATAATCAACGGGTGTCCGTTCCGTCATTGGCGCGATCCACTTTTTCCGGCTTCGTCTTCGCCATTCAGCTCTGTCTTCTCCTCTGGGTTGGCTCCGCCAGCTGTTTCAGGGCCGGAGTTGATCGGGCTTCGTCTCGTGGGCCGACCCAGGCCTAAGTATTTCCTGTGCGCTTGACCCAAAGTCTATTAAATGGTTCAATTGGGCCACCCGCTGGATATCGGCCCATCATCATCATCATCATCATTATTATTATTATTAATATTATCATTATTATTATTATTAATATTATTATTATTATTATTATTATTATTATTATTATCATTATCATTATCATTTTCATTATCATTATCATTATCATTATCATTATCATTATCATTATCATTATCATTATCATTATCATTATCATTATCATTATCATTATCATTATCATTATCATTATCATTATGATTATCATTATCATTATCATTATCATTATCATTATCATTATCATTATCATTATCATTATCATTATCATTATCATTATCATTATCA